AAAAAAAATTACCTGGTTGTTCTTTACGGATTTTCCGCGTCCGGCCATTTTTTTGGAATTTTTTCGAACAATTTGTTCAAAAAAAAATTTTTTTCTTGTGAGTTTTTGAGAGCGAGAGGGAGACTTGGGGTGGGGCGTGGTTTTGTCTCTTTTTCTGATTTTTTTTTTTATATTACTAAGAGTATTTGTGTCTTTTTTGGGTGCGGTAAAAATAATTTAGGTACGGTATTTAGTAAATGAGATATATTAAACATATGTGAATACAGAATATGTGAACAAACAAAAATTTAGATTGTATATAATCAATATATGTCAAGCATATGTGAATAGCTTGTACTCTATATTAAACAGATGTTAATACAACATGTGCATACATCATTCAATACACCACTAATTATTAGCTTGTATATGTTGAACATAAGTTGAGCATATGTGAGTAAGACTTAAAAACTGTTCTTCTATGAGTATATCCAACATATGTTAAGTTATTGGTATATTCACTCAATGGGATATGAAATGGGTATACTCGGTATATGATTTATATTCATTAAGGAGTGTTATATTATCTTTTATATATTAGCATATATCAAACAAATGTGAATATGTTTGTGTATATATTAACCATATGAAATGTATATAATTCAGTTACATGAATTAGTTGGGAAACTGGTCTTATATTAATTACATGTTTTTTTTTTTTATAATTCAATTATCATTTATACTTGGTCTTCNTAACAGATTGAGATGTTAAGGGGTTCGACCTTTGAGAAATTTCTGAATCTTCCATTCTGCAAGGTCCAGATCCAGTTGCTAAGCCAAATTCTTTTACGAGAGGTCTATCAGTCCAGAACCGACGAGATTTGATTTGATTTTGGAGGTAAATTGCTCTGGTTTGGGATAGAGGATTTTGCCCTCATTACAGGTATGCAGCGTTACTTGCAAGAATGTTGGATATGCGACAATTATGCGAATCATTTGTGTAACCTTCGCATTTTCTAAGGTGAAAAAAATTAAATAATTAACGGACGAAGTGAAAAACTTAGGGCATGCTTGTTTATAAATTATTTCACTCTCATTCAATTCATACTCAAAATCTAACTCAACTTTAACTCAACTCCACTATCTTTAATATTATTTATATAATTAAATAATACAAATCAATCATTCTTACACATCACATCAACTTTAATTCACTATTCATCCACTCACATAATTTTAATTACCTATCATTTTCAATCATTTATCTCCTACTTTTACATCAAATCAAATTTGAATATTTTATTTAAATATTATTTTAATACATTCTTAAAACCCCACTAACAATTAATCATATCACATTTTTCAAAATTAACTTTGGTTAATCAAATTAACTCATTTTAGACAAATTATTTAGTAAACAAGCGATCCCTTAGGACGTGTTTGTATACAAATATATCCGCTCAAAACTAATTTACATTGTTAACCAGAGTTAATTTTGAAAAAAATGGTATGATTAGTTGTTAGTGAGATTTTAATTTTATATTAAAATAACATTTAAAATAAAATAATTAAAGTTGATTTAATGTAAAAGTAGGAGACAGATGATGTGAAATAATAGTTAATTAAAATTATATGAGTTGATGAATAGTAAATCTCTATATATATATAATAAGAATTACTATTTGCTAAATATAGTAACTAAAAATTTTGAGACAACATTTACTGCATACTATATTAGGATATTTTTTTATACAAAAAAGAAGGAACATTTAAATCAACAGACGGAACATTTAAAACATCCTAAAACTTTGCATATACAGTTCTAATCAATATATATAATTAATTCCTAAAATGTTGGATAAACAATACAGTAATTTAGGATTTTTTTTAACATGATATCGGGTTGCGGATTGCATCACGTTATTACGATATAATTAATTCCTAAAATAAATGCTATACAACATTAATTTAGGATTTCTTTTAAACATGATATCGGATTGCATCACGTTGATAAGATTTTTTTTTTTAAACATGATATCAGATTGCATCATGTTAATATATACCTATTATATACGAGATTTTGAAGGGATTAGGAATTTGAATTCCTTTATTTTCACAAGTTAAAAATTTAAATCAATTTTATTTGAAATTTCAAATGTGTGGATTTATAAAAAGATAGATTATTGTTTTATCTTCAATATTAATTTAGGAACTTATTTTTTTAACTTTTTTAATATCTATATCTATCTATCTATATATCTATACTTATATAAAAAGTCATCCCATTTACTAGAATTAGTAGAAAGAAAAATCAACTCATAATTAATTGCACACCATATTTAGAAAGTTTTAGATATTTTAAATTATAAAATAGGATAACATTAAATGCCCCTAAAATTATGGGTTTTGTTGAATTCATACATCCAAATTTACGTGTGGTTTTGAAGTGAAAATTTGAAATTCAAAATCTCTTCTCATTTTAGTTACAAGAAAATCGGGATGCATTCAACACTTCGACCAATTTAAAGATTATTCTTTAATAAAGGAATTTATAGATAATTGTTATCTCTACTCAATCACATGATTATTTTCAATATAAAAAGAGACAGATTACAAATTAGTGAATCATATACATAAAAAGAGACAGATTACAAATTAGTGAATCATATATTACCTAATTCAATATCTTAACATTAAGGATTAAATCTATAGTATTATGTAAATCCGTATCTCATATTATTATATCATTAAAAATATATTATAGTTATATTATCAAATTATAAAAAGATATTAAATCCACATTGTAAAAAAAAATAATTCATATAATTTTATAACAATTCTACTACACTATTTAACACTATTACTTTTTATCATTTAATAAAATAATAATTAAATATTATATAGTGAACAACAATACATAAAACTGTTACTTTCTCTTATATCAAGTGATAAATTTATATGCTAAAATTAAATTTTTATTAATATAAATATTTAAGTGAGATAATACATTAATCATTTTACAAGCTAGCCCTAACATGCTTATATTTAATGTTCTAGCTAAAAAAGCAACGCTGGTTAGAAGATGTGGAAAAAAACTTATAATAGCCCTATTGTTTTTTAGACTTAACATTGATTAAAAGAGGTAGAAAATAGATAATAACCTTATTATATTTTAGATTTAAACGAACAAGGGTGTGAAAATAACTCATTTAATATCTCTGTATTGTGCATTGCATGAGGTACGTACTAGTTAAAATTAATGTGATGTGTTAAATAATTGATTGATATTATTTAATTATAGTGATAATATTGTGGACAATATTTGAGTTAAATTTTGAGTATAAATTAAATATAAATTAAGTTTTTTAGTATACAAAGTGAAAAATTAGCTCGAGAAACATCAACAAGTCGCGCTGAGAAGAGAAAAATTATCCACAACCTAAGAAGGATTACAGTCATGGGGGGAAGGAGAGGGAGAAAGAAGTCCCATCTCAAAATGGCCAAGGACAAGAAGGATAACAACCCGGCGGCGAGCGGTTCCTCCCCACTGCCGCCGCCGTGGATCGAACTCCCCCGAGACGTGACGGCGAATATTCTGCGACGGCTCGCCCCGGTGGAGATACTGGAAAATGCTCGGGGAGTGTGCACCACCTGGCGGAGCGTGTGCCGCGAGCCCTCGCTGTGGCGCGTCATCGATCTGAAAACCTCCGACGACAACCCCAGAAGATTATTCGGTCCCGACGACACGTGCCGTCTCGCGGTGGACCTCAGCCAGGGGGAGCTGATCGAGATTAACATCGAGCATTTTGCCACCGACGATTTGCTGCTCTACGTTTCCGTTGTGTACGTGTACCTCAAACGTGATCTTATACTCTTAAAATGTTGTTGTTTGTTGTGCATTTTCTATTTGTAACCCTAACTCAGTTGTTCATTTTGTGAGATGGTGTTTGTGGAACTGTACTGGATTGGTTATAACTTTTAACTGCTGATTGTGAATTTGTAACCCTAATTTCGATGTTTTTCAACATTTCAGAAGGTTAACATGAAAGCTTCTGAAAAAATTTTGAGTTAGCAACAGTGAACTATTGTGTTCTGATATGGGAATGATGATTTTTCACTTTGTGTGTGCTCATAGTGTGTCATTTAGTAGTTTGGATTAAGGGGAAGGGAGCTCATTTTCAGCCATTGCTGTAGAAAATTTTGAGGTTTGGGTAGCCCTGCTGCTGCCGAGGTTTGAAATTTGAAATATCCGAATAGCATTCAGAAAGGAAAAATGATTTTCTTGGGTATTGATAAAAAAATGAATGCGACAAGTCTTTATTGAATAAAAAGAATGACCTTTTCATTTTAGAAAATTTCATTGTTTGGTCTGAAAGTTGTTGGTCGTACATTACCCAATCTGGGTATCTATACTATACTCGTTGAAGCTGTAAACTAATTGAATTGAATCACAATATTTTTACAGAATTTCATTACTTTAACAGCCAGTGTTCAAGCACATTGTTAGCAACGGCCAACATGTCTGTATTTGCTATTCTCGCTTGCCAATGCTCTGTCACATGGTAACGAGTCGTATTTATTTTGGGCCACTTTTCGTATGATACTGAATAAATGGCCAGATTCCAGATGCTTAATCTGGGGATGCTTATTGCATGCCACACAGTAAGAAGATCCATGCTAAAAAAAAAAATCTCGTTATCTATTCGAGTTCCTTTTCATTTTGCATTGTGTAAACATGTTATTAGTCTCTCTACATTTCCAGCGAGTACAAACCTGCATTTTCTTTGAAGAATTCATGTTAGTTTCCATAAACTAGACAAATTTCTATAGTTGATCATCCACATCCTGACAAGTTTCCACTTTTTTTTTAAAAAAAAAAAACAGATCGAGCAATCTCAAACGTCTCACACTCGTGCGTTGCGACTGCATATCGGGCCTAGGTCTGACCACAGCCCTTAAGAACTGTCCGGAACTAGAAGAGCTTCACCTCGTTTTCATGCCAAAAATCCGTGCTTTGGACATCGAGTCAATCGGCATCTCTTGCCCCAAGTTGAAATCCTTCACGTTCAACAACCGTGCATTCAGGTTTCCTCTTGTCGAAACAGACGACAGTTACGCCATGACAATCGCGAAGAACATGCCTAATTTGCAGCACCTTCGACTTTTCGGCAATCGGTTGACCAGTCAAGGTTTAGAAGCCATTCTCGATGGGTGCCCTCGTTTGGAGTCTCTCGACCTAAGGCAGTGCTTTATGATAATGGTTGACTTTGAAGGAGCTCTCGGGAAAAAGTGTGTTGACCGGATTAAGCACGTGAGGGGGCCTTCTGACTCGACTACAGACTATGAGTGGGATGCTCGGATTTTCGATGACGAGGATGATGTGTTTGATGATGATTATGATGATATCTACTACTCTGATGATGACTATTATGAGGATTATGGGGATTATGGGTTTTACGAGAATTATGATGACTACACGAACCCTTTCAATGACTTGCCGTATCCGGCTAATCAGGTGTGGTATATGGACGAATTTGGAGATTATATTTGAGCTGTGGCTTTTGTGAGAGATGATTGATTTAAGTTTGCTGCTGCTTTCCTTTTTGGTCATTGTCTGGTAGTGACTGATCAGATATGTTTGGCTTTTTATTTTGAAGTTTAATCTATTTAAGACTCTTAAAACTTGTGTGAATGTTAGTGTAATGTAATTCATGGCTGGACTATTATCATCACCCATTTGCATATGGGGCTATGTAGTTTATGTTTCGGCCCAAAGCTGTAACCTTTTGTGCTGGGGCCCAACTTGTTGTATGGACCCTCGTTGACACTCCAGCCTCAGTATTATTACAAAGGTTATTGTTGTATGAATCCAGCCCAAGTCGTTGATGGGATGTCAATTTTTATATGTCAGCCCACGTTTGAAATAGATGTAATGAACAATATTCTCTCGATGTATGGTTTGCACAAATTGCTGAAAAAAGGGTGTTAATGACTACATCTGTTAAAAAAAATGAATAGTTTGCAAACTTATCTATCTCCATTCATGAAAGTTTGAGTTCAGCTCATTTGTTTACTTGAAAGCTTTAGGTTCTATTTGTGAAAGTTGGAGTTCAACTCATTTGTTTACTTAAAAAATTTAGGTGAGGAGATTATGGAACTATTTTTAAAGTTTAGAGTTCTAACTCAATGTTTACTTACAAAATTTAGGTTGAGCAGATTATGGAACTCTTTATTATAAATGAGCCAAACACTGCTTGTTCAAGAGCTCTTTATATAAATACATATATATATATATATATATATATATATATATATATATAT